ACCCTTTACTAGTCCGCTGCTGGACACAGGCCTCTCTTTAGAATGGAGGGTACGGCCTACTATACCATGCTGGCCAGACGGGTTGGTAAAGGGTTTGTTTTAAGTCTTCCTTCTCTTTGCAGTGCTGTTGTTCTGCGTAGTTTGCCCCCTTAGTTGGCTCTTACGACACCCACGGGTGGAATAGGGGTGGTGACACTTCGTATTATTAATCCGTCACGACATGGAAAAGTGGCTGAATTGTTGTGCGAGATATATTTATAAAAAACACTCTTAGCTTAATACTCTGCTATTCGTTTCAGTTGTATGTTTATATCTTATCCGTATGTAACTAATCATCCTGTGGGCGTAGTAAGGCAGCAAACTACTCAGAAAAACAGCACTGCCAAGAGAAAAAAACTGAAGACAAACCCTGAACCAACCCGTCTGGCCAGCGTGCTAAAGTAGGCCAAAACTTATTTTCTAAGGAGAGGCCTATGTCCAGCAGTGGACTATTAAAGGCTGTTGATGATGATAATTACATTTTAGGACTAATTAAGCCTGGTGCTTGTTTTTCCCAATCTATCAGAATAATTAATATTCGTTTCCTATCACATTGCCACTGACCTACCTTTCCTTCCATTTTGCTCCCAATTATCCCATGTAATGACTAAAGTGGCTTACACCCTCTAACATGGACCTAACGCGAGTGTGAGTATGTAACAAATGAAGTATAGACGCATGCATTATTTCAGTTATAATCAACAAAAAACATTTTATTAGTTTTGACGATTATTTTGAACAGAAACCTTCCTTCCAGTAAATATTTCATTATGATTTAAAGTATCCCAAGTATCCCAGTGGCTGACTAATAATGATTTGACTGACTGAATAGTGTAAAAACTAAATTTATGACTTTCTCTATTAGGAACATTCAGGGAGCGGTGGATAACTTCATTGTGAGTGCTCATAATTGTCAGTTCACTGGTTTAAATGGGTGTACATGCCGATACGTGAAACGAACTGGTCACATAAAATATCTGGGTGTGACAATAGATAGTAATTTGAGCTTTACAAAACATTTTGAGCTGCCTAGTGGTAGGATCCGTAAACTCATTTATGTATTCATAACCCTTAGACACGTCGCTCCGCCTAAACTTGTTAAGCAAATATACTTTGCACTCTGTCACTCCTTAATTTCGTATTGTATAATATCATGGGGAGGAGCTCCGGATACTAACATTAAAAGAATAGAAATTGCACAGCGTGCAATTCTCAAAGTAAGTACTTTTCGACCAAATTTGTTCCCAAACAAACAACTATATGAAGAATGCAAAGTTCTTACGGTTAGACAGTTGATCTTACTTAATATAATTATGAAACAATATAGTGAAACCCCTTATGATCCACATAAAAATATAAACCGTCGAAAGGGCAGAGTTTGTGAGACAAGGAAATCTTTTCACACATCATTTGTACAACGTTTCTATTGTTTTCTGGATTCGTTTATTTTTAACAGAGTGAACAAATTGATATCTATGGCCTGAATAGAAAAGATTGTGAAAGAAAGGTCACATCCTGGTTGAAGGGTCTAGATTATCGTGAAACGTAAAATCTTCTGGCGGTGTTGCGGTGATGGATTTCTATACGAATATCTAATTTCTATTACATAACCGTAAGTAAATATTAAGTTATTAAATATAAACTAAAATACACCCTCTCACACACATGTACATTTGTGCCATTTACAAAGTGAGGTTAATTTACACACAACTATTATTTTTGAAAAATTGGCCTAATAATGTTTATTTTTGTATTATATACGAGTATAACTAGTTTCTAAGTAGGGGAGTGGTCACGTATACCTGGTTCCCCGGCTATTAGTACTCGAGACGGCGTGCGGTTTTAGTCGGTTCGAGTCCGACATGCCACCGACAGGTGGTATCCGAGGGGATTTCCGCACGGAAAAAAAAAAAAAAGGGAGCGGTCACGCCACATACTGAAACACAGGTCTGACCTAGTTCGGCGGTGGATGCTGTTCATAGTTCTTTTGTCCTACAAGTTTCTAGTCCGTGCATGTGAACAACAATCTTGTAAACATTTTTCTGGCAATAAAGTTATTATTATTTACTAGTGTGTTTGCTGAGATAATAAGAGGTTATTTTGTTAGGTAGGTACCTACTACTTTTTGTATTATTCTGTCTGAAATAGTATTTCTTGAAATCTGTCTTAAAATAAAATGACATCGGTGTCCAAGATGCGTGACGGTAAGTTATTTGTTTTTCTTTTTATTTCTACTTAATATTTAAGTAAAACAAAAAAGTAATCTTTTGAAACAAGCGATTACCCGTGACATGATCTTTTCCCGCTATTTTACCTATCAGTTGAATGTCAAATCAGTTTCTATTTTAAACCAAATAAATGATTCGTCAAAAATTCAAACAGTAAATTTCAACTGATGTCGTCACAATTTTGCTAGATCAGCAAATCGTTGACTTTTAAGCGTATTCTAGAAAGGTTTTACAATTAAGAAGTTATAACTTACTTAAAAATAATAACGAATGTAAATCTTCAACGTTAGATAATTTAGTTTTACGAAAGGCAACCATCTTATTAGCACCGACGACGACGCTGTCACGGTACAATTATAATACAGTAGTGTAACTCGGCCGCATGATAGAAATAAATGCCTACAGCCGCGCGGTACGTAAACATGCGTTAGGGCTGCCCGTCTCCAGCATTTTAATTATATTTGCCTACTTTTTGTTTCTATTTAGATTTGTGATTGTAAATATCCTTTTTATATAAATAAATGAGATACTTTGTATATTGGATAGGAAGTGTTCAATAAAAATGCGTGTTGTTTTTTGATTGGTAGATTTAATTAAAAAAACATGTTTATGTTTAAAAAACAAATCGGGCTTATAAATTTGCGACCGAAAAATATTTGCGCCTCAATATTTCCTCCATTTTTTCTATAAATTCCACAAAATCATCGTTGGGTACAATCAAAAAAGTTCGCGAATTAATCTTACTGCAGTCCCGGTACCGTATCATGATTCATTCAGAACCGCATATAACTACCAATTTCACTCGTCTCAATAACTTTCCGTTACTCTATTCGCTTTATTTATTAATCCAAACACCTTTTTTTCGTGAGATAAAAGGAAATACTTATCCATTAAAAAGACACACATTATGTACCTACCTACTAGTAAGTAAAATTATTTTTTAGTTATTGTTATTGTTAAAAAAACAACACACAGTCCGTTCGACACTGCGGTACAGCCGTGACTGTCTGCGCCCCGAGCGCACCCCGAGATCGAGGCGCGTAGGTATAGCTCGCGTTTCGTCCGTTTGTATGAAGTTGGAGTACTGTATTATAATAGTACCGTGACGCTGTTCTAAATAAACGTGTGTAGGTATTCTCAAAATGTACAAATTTCATATTATATGATCCAACAATGACATTATGTGCTTATCTTTTATACTTTTTACTTCACGTTGTTGTGAGAATGACCACTAAGCACTTACCTACTGCTCACGTCATAACTAAATTTAAAACAGGGAATTGCTATTCGTAATCATAAAAACTAGCAAAACGACACTAAAATGTAAATAGAAGAACCCAAATAAATGTTCCTTGCTTAATTATAATATCTATCTATTCAAAAGATCTATTCAGAATCCATAAATTAAATAATAACTGGGTAGGTATTACAGCAATGTAGGTATTTAGTTTTATTAGTTTTTGTTGTATTACTTAAACAGCTGTTTTGAAAGCAAACAAGAGGGAGACACGCTTCGGCGAATTGTCGTTGTTCGTTGACAATAATAATACGTACTTAACGGTAGCTGATTTTATCACAACAGATAAATAATTACCTAATAAACAATATTAACAGTGTTGACATACTCGTATCTTTGGTATTTCTATTGTTTTTAAAACTGTGCACAAGTAATTTAACATGCTTCTAGACAACAAGGTCGTGTGTCCTTAAGTCGACACTGGCTAACGTTAATTTGGAATTCCGATTTAATTATATCATAACCGGCATTGATATATCAATAATTATAATTACTGGGCTTTAAAAGCGAATGGATTCGTGAATTCGCGCGGATCAAATTTATTGGGAATATAATGAATTAAGTTTATCATATTCTGGCATCTGCTTTGCACTAGGCGAATGTTTTCTCATATTCAATTTCAATTAGTACAGTACTAAACTGACTGAGGTTTTTGGAACCGTAGGTACGAGCAATAGGTACAAAATATCTACGAGATTATAACTTTAATTAATTAACTTTATCAGTCCTGTATAAGATTTTTGTGCTAGACGAGTTTTATAATATAATTATATTCTTGGTACACAATACCATACACTTTAAGATCATTGTTCACACGCTTATGCTCATTTCCAACAGAATGTCACAGAGTTCAGCAGAAAAAAAAAACGTTTTAGCTTATTATTTTACTGAAAGATGTCATTTTTATGACTCAACATCCCTAATCAGTATTATATTAAGTACTTTGCTTTAGGTATATATGTCTGTTTAACAGGAAAATCATTGTTAATTTTTTTTCAAGAAAAGTCGTGATAGTCACGGACAAAAAATAATATTTTATACTTTGGTTTTATAATTTGTTATAACCTGTCGTCGGTTTTACCGCCTATTAAATCAGTTTTAATACCTATTGTCCATTGTCAATAGACTAAGAGTCGATTAATTTACGATAATTTCCTCGCCAGTAAAATATTTAATTTGCATCAGTACAATAGGAAGAATAAATGATTGTAAGTTACTTATTGGCTCCTGGCCTTCAATTACATGATAATACTGTCTTAAAATTTAATTGGACAAAGCTAGCACGATAATAAAAACCAAAAAAGACGCATAAAACAAAAGAAATCGTTCATATTTGTGTAAACAATAACTGTAATAATTTATAACTACGTGCACAACAGCAATCACATTTCAATAATTACACCTAAATACATACTAAAATATAAATAAGTGTATACTTATCTATTGTAAATAAAGTATACGAGACAAAGATTCACCAGTATTAACTTAAGATTTTGTCCAAAGGAAAACACAGCACTCCCATTCATCCGCACATTGATAAAGTAAAGGATTTGTTCACAGTTTATTTTATAATTTGTTGTTCCTTCTCTGCTGTACATTATTAGTCTGCAGTCTGCATTTCTGGTAACGTACAAACGCCTCTGTGTTATAGGATCCATGACAGTCGTCACCTTCCAATCTTTTATTGCATCTGGATTGCTCTCTGGTGGAGTGATGATCTCATCGACATTTATTGGTTTCTCAATCCACAGACTTACATCTACACCATCCTCTGTAATCTTTCTTGAATTGTAGTCGTGGATATAGTTGCCCAGGAACGCTTGAGCAACTGTACAATATACTGCGACAGTTTCAATTATCTCGACATCTTCGATTCTGAGAAAGCATTGGCTGGCACGCTCACTCCGAAATGGCAATTCTAAAGGTATGGGGAACGTGTAGGGTTTCAGTTCTTTAACGTTCTGCTCAATGCACAACACGGTCGTACGCAACGAACTGATGAAACTGACAATGATCACTTTGAGTAACATTTTAAATGTGCTGTTGTTACGACGTCATGATTGTAACTAACCGTCTGTCGTGACGAGTTCGCTACAGAAGTATTACAGAATGGCGAACTGCCTTCATAAACCGGATTGCAGCTTGAAGAAGATTATTAAATTGCAATTTAACAACTTATTGTTGTGGTGTGTAGGTATGGTGGACACGTGTTTGTGTACCTAAATAAGGATGCAGGTATGCCGCTAGACTGTTGAAACGGTAATAATATTTATTTTGTAACACATATAAGTGCATATTGTTAAGTTGAAATTGTGTGGGTACGTACTAATTATTTCTCATTGTGAAAAGCATACTAATAATTATGATAATATGAAAGTCTGTTATTTTAAAATACTGATACAAACATGGCGAGTACTTAATAGTGTTCGTCATAAATTATAAACGAGTATTTTGCTTACTTTACAAGCTATAAGCACAAAGTTATTTTTCATTGGTTCACAATAATAGTCCATCGATTTCATTGATTTAATTAAAATGTTAAAAAATCACCCACAAAAATACTTTAATCAAATGTTCCCTTAACATTCCATTGCTAAATTAACATATATCAAATTTTACGGTGTGTTATTCTTAAAAAACATTGGTGCAAACACTAGATTTTATTAATTTATCGTTCGTTGTTATTGTTGTTGATACTATTTGTTGGAGTACTTTGAGGGTAGGTGTGAATAATACCGGGTACAGACAAAGAAACACGAGAAATACATTATGAACCCTCTATGCAGTTGATAAAAACAAATGTTAATATAATCAAACACAAGTAATCGCCACAGGCCTGTTGCATAATCAATAGGCATGGGACAAAATCACAGTGAACTGTGAAAGATCGGTGATTTATCATTCGATTTAGGTAGGTTAGGTTACTACTTAATCACGTGTTGTTGCCAAAAAACTGTTTTCAGACGATGTATAAAGACCCTATTTCACCTATTTAGCAGTAAATATAGTAATAATTTTTTTATACATAGGTAACATTCCCTATATAATAATTAAAAAATATTAGTTATCTGTTAAATAGCGTCTTACCTACCTACCTAGCAACCCTAAACTACGCAAGCAAAAATTGAATAATAAATCATAGTTCACTGTGATTTTGTCCCATGTCTAATAATTAATAAAAAAGTACCATTCCAGGATAATGCATTTTGGTCTATAACTAGCAGCTAACTTATCGCATTGTGTATGTCCATGTGTTCACAGGGACAGGATGACGGAGTCAGTTATGTTTTTCAAGTATATGTATGAAACCGCTTGTTAATATTTTGCTTGAGAGATTTCGTTAGATTTATCTTAATTTATTGTGAGAGGCATTTCAAAATATATATATATATATATTTTAAATATATTTTATTTTATTTGAATTTTCGATTTCCTATTTTTGTTAATTACTTTTGTGTTATATTTTCAAGAAAGAAACGTCTTACATCAATTTTATATTTAAAATCTCTGTGCAATCCTAGTAAACAAATAAATTATTTATCGATCTATCTTTTTTTACAGTGTAATTAATTATTTCAATTTATTTTGATAACCTTCATTTTAAATTGCCCAATTAAATATATAATACAGGTTTACTGGTTAAGTCGACCCACTATGTATTACTCGTATAAGACTCATTTTTCGGACATCCCCTTTTTATTACAAAAACATATACTACTAAGTATTTAGAAAGCTAAAGTAAAACTGACAAGTGACAAACATGAGTAGTTTTTTAAAGTTTACAATAATTCACCCAAATAAAGTTAAGAAATAATCTAAGCTAAAAACTGAAGCAAATAAATTAAAAAGGCTTTAAATTTTAGGACTATTTTTAAACTTAACCTTACCTTAACCTAAACCTTTTTTTTTCTTAAGTAATAGATACTTATGGAGTTTGTAGTTGCCATCATTGCTGATAGATTTCACAAGCAAATATCATGTCCTAAACCTAACAATTTTCAAGATTGAAGTTTTAAGATTTTTATTAAATCCTACCTGAAATTTCACTTATTTCAATTATCTTTATAGCTTTATCATAAAAAATAAAAATCATTATCATGATGACAAGAGTCTCTTAAAAGTATAATTAATTCCATCAAAAACATAAATGTAAAATGATAGCCAAGTTCAATATTACTCGTAAGAATATGCGTCGATTTCGACTTCGCCGACAAAAAAATTGAGAACTATATGGGTGCCAAGTTCTATGTAGAAAATCCTAAAATTTTAGTTTCTGTTACCTGTTTCTTGGTGCTACCACAAATTTGACTTGGATTGAGATTTGTAAGATGTACTCCGTCTAAGGTTTTAACTCTGGAGAGTGAAACGTAAGCTTGACCTTAGCTAAATATTGAGAATGATAGGGTGCATGAAACACTAATGATTTGTATTGATAAAATTAAAAAATATTTTTTTCTTTTTTATAAATTGGAAACAGTTCTCGCTTTAGTGAAAAAAAAAACAACCATTCAAACAAGCGCAAGCACACAACGGAGATAGGTATCTAACTCGTGGCGCTACTACTATTTTCATGCACTTTGCGAATATTATATTATCACTCTCTATTTTTTAATTTTAGGGTTATAATGCAGAATAAGATATGACTAGGTAATGACTAGTACTTTGTAAGTTAAACCTGGTGGTTTAACTTACAAAGTACTTTAACCACGGGATTAAAAGGATGAAAAAAATAGCCATGTATTCACTTACTTTTATACTTATATTTGTTATTACTTCTTCAATACTAATTATCAATAATTTTCAACGTTAAACGTTAATAAATAACTGTTGTGGAGCAAAATTTATGAAATTTTGGATTTTAAACAAGCTAAGGATCTTTAACCAATGTGCCCAATTTCATAAAACGTGTAGTTAAGTACATTGAGAAGAACAATATTTTATCAGACAGTCAGTTCGGCTTTTGGAAAGGAAGGTCCACTGAAGACGCCGTAAATTTATTGACAAATGAAATTGTTACAAATCTAGACAATGGCCTTGCGTGTATCGGAATCTTCTTAGATCTCGCAAAGGCCTTTGATACTGTTGCAATTCCAATCCTACTCAAGAGATTGGAAGGCATTGGAATAAGGGGAACCGCGCTAAACTGGTTCCGAAGTTACTTGACCGAAAGGAAACAATGTTTAAAGGTGGACTCCTTGCACAGTACCTTGCAGGAAACTTCTTTTGGAGTTCCTCAAGGGAGTGTGTTAGGCCCGACTCTATTTCTTCTGTATATAAATAACCTGACGACCTTACCACTTAGAAATGCAAAGATGATCTGCTACGCGGATGACACAGCAATAATATTTCATGATTCCACTTGGGCCAACTGTTTTGCCACGGCTGAACAAGGTATGGCGATTATAGCTAAATGGCTTCACAATAATTTATTAACTTTAAATACTAGCAAAACCAAATATTTATGCTACCACAAAACTGCAGCTTCTTCTCCAGCCTTAAGCCCAAACATTCCAATTCACACATGTAATTTTGATCAGACTATTTGTAATTGTAATAAAATACAGAGGTCACGAAGCATTAAATATCTAGGAGTAATTCTAGATGATAAACTCTCTTACAAAGACCACATCGTGGCAACTGCAGCTAAAGCAAGGAAACTAATTTACGTTGTAAGACAACTTAGAGATGTTGCTGATTTACATTTATTAAAAACGATATATATATCATTGTGTCAATCCATCCTGACTTACTGTTTAAATATCTGGGGAGGCTCAGCTGCAACACACTTGATTATCTTGGAAAGGGCTCAGAGATCAATTTTAAAAGTTATGTTGAATAAACCATTGAGATTCCCAACCACTGAACTCTACAAAGAAGCCCAAGTATTAAATATAAGACGATTATACATATTTCAAGCCATCATTTCCACACACAAAAACGTGTTAAACGCCCCTGATTACAATAAAATGCTCAAGCAAAGAATTTTCAAAGTCCCTGTTCCTAGAAACAAATCATCCTTCGCAAACCGCTTTCAAAAGTTCATGTTTCCATTTATTTACAATAAGGTTGTCAATAGATATAATTTCAAACAGGATACAATACGGGACGCTAAACTGAAAATCAGTAAAATCATGAGCTGTCTTAACCATAAAGAAACCGAACAATTGCTAAAAATCTTAAAATAAGAATGAAAACTGACAGACAGACGAATACACATACTTAGACATGTACACGCAAACACACACACAGGCTCACAAACTATCACACACACTCACACACACTCACATAGCTCCAACTTAAACTTAGTCAATTAAATAAATATAGATTGTAGTAAACTGCGATCTCTTCCTATTGTTTCATATGAGATTTATATAAGATTCTAATATTATTGATATTGTCCTAATGTATAATCGTTTTTGTATTGATAGCCTCGATACAGGCTAAGTCTAGTGTGGCTATCATTGTTAAACAAATTTTGTAAATCTTTACTTTAAATAAAAATTATTATTATTATTATTATTATATATGTAGGTTTAATTGTGTTTGAGTTGTGAAGGGATCGCTCGAAATGGTTCATGTAATATTACACACGACTACTGCATCGCCAGTTCCTTTGCTTTGAACTTGGCCGCACACGCTACCGCGTGTCAAGATATTATGAAACTTTAATTAGTTAACGTGGTGCCTTTGGTTTTGAAATGACTCTTTAAGATTTTATGAGAACACGTTAGTTATATATGTTTAAGCAAAGCAAGAAAAATCGTTTTATAAAAATAAAACTCAACCTAAAACCACGGCAAAATTATACGGTTTGAATAATATTTAATGGTTCGTTCTGTTATTATTTAGACAATAAGACAACGTTGATATGTGAAACTTCCCAAGTGAATATTTTAACCGTCTGCCTACTACGGTATGATTAGCCAGGTACATGAGGGGATTTTTGTTGCACGAAAAAAATAATGGGCGTTGTCCTGCCCATTACTGTGTCTAGTTATTGTCTCCATTAAGACTCGAGAGTATTAAGACCTCCTAACAAAATAAAGGTTCTTGACGACTGGCTATCTGTTTATCAATAGGCTGTATCTAAATAATAAAGCGGACTGCTGGTGGGGTGATTATGTCACACTTGAACCGACTCGAAACCGACTTGAAACCGGTCGTCTTGGGTAGAAAGAAAATCCCTGGTTCACTGACGGACTCCGGGTCATCTACGGCTGACAGATATCCCTGAGCGCGGTTTCCCCTTCCTTCCTCTGGGCAGGACAATTCTGCCACGCCCTGCCACGGTGCAGTGCGTGAAGCCTCTTTTGTAGGACACACAGGGTCTTTGTCCTCTCTTGTTGCCTTTCTACGGTCTCTTTGACGAACATAACTTCGTCGCAAAAAGTCCTTGTAAAACGTGATGGTGGGATTTCACGCATAGGTGCTTTCCTCCCTGCCATGCAGCATTAATTGCAAAACCCTTAACGGGTTTCATAACTCCTATTGAAAATCTCCTACTAAAATATATAAGCGATGCCATCTATTTCTATTTGTCTCAAACTCCTGCAGACTTTTCGTGTCAAAGTACATTTAATATTCATAGTTCTTCCGAGGTCTGACTCATTGAGTCACTTTGGTTATCCGACTTGACGTCATATTGTCATCGTCAAGTTATGTAACCATTTACTATAGGTAATATAAGGCATTATCGATTTCATAAATTTATCCGATTATTTCTCTATTAGAAAACCTGTCTGACAAGAAATTTGCTAACATATAACCATCGGAAACAGATAGACCGCTGCCAGATAGATGGACTAAGTGAGACACCGGCTTAACAGTTGATCCGATCACTCTATAAAAGGCTAAGGATAATAATTTACCAATCACATCAAATATGCCCAACGGGCCTAAAGAAGTTTTCACTTCAAAAATTTAGCTAGTGAGTTCTGTGAGGCCGTGGTACCTATCACTCCGGTAATTAAGTTTTCACTTCAATATATACAAAGGTGTCGGTAACGGTAATAGTGTCGCTAGTTCAATGGTTTTTTCCCATCTCAATACAAAAGTACATTTTTTTGTTTGTTGTTCAAAAATACCTAACGCGCCTTAAGAAGTTTTCACTTTAAAAATCCTGTTATAATCAAAAATTTTCAAGTTTTCACATCTGTCGACACTCTCGGAGTGCCACAGTTTTTTTTCTTTTCTTTTTACCGACTGAGTGAGATGACCTGAGCCCAAAGCCCTCTTTCCAAAAACTCTCTTATTACGCATTTTTCGGTCTCGCTCACAACTTCATTCAAAAAATAAGAAATCGAAAACAAAATTTAGTTAGCAAATCGTCGAATAACTGTATATGAAATGAAATAAACGAAAGTAAACACACAATAACAACAACATGAAAAACCCGTGCGTGTATATTAAGACAATTCCTAAAACATTCATTGACGACCCGATCTCGTATCACAGCGTGTGACGTAGTTTACCCACACACAAACACACAACTTGTACGGTACATAAACAATTAAAAGTAATAAACGTACACCAATCAACAGATTCCCCTTATTAACTTGTTTTGTACTGGTATAGTTAATTTGGCCACAGATCATTCTATAATTCTCAAAACAGATGAGTCACTCCCATAATTGTATTATATTTCCCTACGAATGCGTTAAATAAACAAATAAAGAATTATGTAAGTAGCAACCGGTATATATACATATATATATAAATAAAAAATCAGAAAACATTTAGATTAGGTATTTAGTATTTATTACGTCAATTAACTTAAGAGTCATCATAATCACTTGGTCAGTAGATGTCATCTCCTCGAGGTGTCTCTAATCGTAAAGGAAAGAAAAATGATAAATATAAGAATTAAAGAAAGTTAGTTATGAATAGTTTTTAGGTTATTCTGTTATCGTTAAGTTTATACATAAAATAATTTTACTTCATTTATTTAATCACATTCAGCGTTAAAAAGCAATTGAAGTCACAGCAATGTTATTATTTAGTCAATTGTACCTAATAACTTGCATTAGATAACTGTCTCAATACTAATACTACTAAACTCAATATACTATAAGTTTATAAATTTGAATACAAGTATGTATTTATAAATACAAACGAGTGTCAACTTTTTATCTGGCTGCGAATATAGAAAAACTTCTTGTTTATCAAGTGCCCCTTATCGCCTGCCAACGCGGGTTAAGGACACAGCAAATTAAGACTCTCTGTATAGTATTTTGCATTCTACACACACAGGCACACATTTAAATGTTATAAATGTGACATGTTATAAATGGAGTCAATGAATGTCCGCAGTAGCAATCGAGACCGCGCTCTCGCTGTGTCAGTGTTTACATACTCTAAAATGGTTAACAGGATAATTCTGTGGTGCGTTTTAATTTCAAGTTTTACAGTTTGTTATATTGAATGTAGAGGAGGAAGAGGAGGGCACGGCTCCCACAGCTCTCACGGCTCCCACGGCTCCCATAGCTCCCACAGCTCAGGGCACAGTTCTTCGCACTCATACTCGTCTTCAGGCAAAAGTGGGCACTCTTCAAGTTCTTTGGGCAGTTCGTCTTCTTCACACAGCTATCCTTCATCAGGATCAAGCCTTTCAGGATCTAGCTACAGTTCACATAGCTATCCTTCATCAGGATCAAGCTACAGTTCACATAGTTATCCTTCATCCGGATCAAGCCTTTCAGGATCAAGTTACAGTTCTCATAGCTATCCTTCATCAGGATCAAGCTACAGTTCACATAGTTATCCTTCATCAGGATCGAGCCTTTCAGGATCAAGTTACAGTTCTCATAGCTATCCTTCATCAGGATCAGGTCTTTCAGGATCAAGTTCCAGTTCACATAACTATCCTTCATCAGAATCAGGTCTTTCAGGATCAAGCTCTAACTCACACGGCATTCCGTCATCAATATCAAGTCTTTTTGGATCAAGCTCCAGTTCAAATAACTTTCCCTCATCCGGATCTGGTCTCTCAGGATCAAGCTCTAGTTCATTTGAATATCCATCATCAATAGCAAAGCTTTTGGAGTCAAGTTCGGGTTCAAATAGCTATCCTTCATTTGGATCTAATTACTATGGATCAAGCTCAAACTCTCACTACTATCCGTCATCAAAATCAATTTTTGGACCAAGCTCGACTTTAAATAGTCATTCTTCATTCGGGTCTGGTTCATATGATTCACGCTATAATAGTGATGGCCTGACACCATCAATAGCAAAGATGTTAGAAACAGCCTCTAATATAAATAGCTACTCAACCTTACTTGGAACAAGCTCGAATTCACATGGATATCCTTCATCAGGATCAGGATCAGGCCTCTGGGGGTCAAGCCGTTCCGAATCAAGATCATCAGATTCAGACTATTGGCCATTAACGGGCTCTAATAAACAGTCACTGTCATCCACGGGACACTCGTCGGCGTCATCAGGATATCACAGTTATCCTTCAACGTCAGGTGGTCCCTCTGGAACAAGTTCAAAGCTCCCATCAACAGATGTTTCTACCGGCACACATAGTTACCCCAAGCCTTCTTCAGCACTTTCCGGTTCAGGATCTCAACCACCTTACGGTAAAAACCATCCAGCTTCTTATGATAACTCATACAAACCACAACAGCCAAGCCAAACGTACAATGCACATAATGGTTATGGTTCTACTTCTTATAATAGACCAAATTATGATAATACGCCGTCTTACTATACTGCACCACAATACAAATATGTGCATGAATACAGAAATTCAAAGAGCCGCTACGGAGACCTACTGACTGGATTAACGTTGTACAACCTCGGCCGGTCACACAGCCATTATCATAGCCATTACTACTATGACGACTATTACAAACGACGCTACGCATCATCAAGTACTTCCTACGGAGAAGAAAACAAACACAGTGAAGAGGCTACATGTGTATTGAAAGTAAAAGCGAATGATAAAGTAGAATTGTTGAAAATACCTTGTGAAATAGTCTCCACATTTACCGAAGACAGCAAAAAATTTGCACCGGTACCAGACACTGTAGTGAACAAAACGGTTTGCATGACTAACGGTTCATCAGTTAATTCCACATCAACGGCGAACACCACAGTGGTGAATGTTACCGTATGTACCACGAAATCGACAGTATCAGATCCATTGACTGTTAAAGGACCTCCTGCCAACAGTAAGAACATGGAGTGTGAAGTGGAGATTCATACTAAGCAGGCTCTACTACGTAAAGATATAGACTGTGGGACTTTAATGTCGTATGCTAAAATGCCTGAACCAAAGAAGGATAGAGGGATGCTACCTTCGAGGGAGAAACTTAAATCATGGTTATCGAATCCACCCTGGTGGGCCTCTATGTTTATTGCTGTATAAGTTTAAGTAATTTTAGTTTTAGTGTTATATAACGCCATACAAAAACTAGACAATACAAAATAATTATGTATATCATAAATTATAAACATTTTAAGATTATGATAAGGTAACCTTTACAAGTAAAGTTTAAATGATAAATTGTGTTATTATTGATACAGATGTTGACCCGTGACCTCACCATTCATTTAAGAGAAAATATGAAACAGATGAACGATAATTTAGTTCTTTACGTCTTTATTATTATGTTAGTAAGATGATACATGTTAATTCTAGTTTTAGTAACCTTACATCTCTTATAAAGTGTATTTGTCTCTATAAAACAGTGCCATTACAAGCATTCACTTTCTTTTTAATAATAAATCTTTTTTAGGTCCAACTTTTTTACGCACGCTTGACTTAGGGAGTAAGCTAGTGAATGCGTGACGAGGACGTTACGAAAAGTGTGATCGGGCGAGACGAACGGATGTTTAGAGGGAAATACAAGTCAGTGAAGATAGAAATAGAGAGAGTTGCGTTTCGTATATTACTGTAGGGGCAAGAGAGAGAGGTGCGATTACCCATTTTCTTTCTCCCTTTCTCTCATGGCTAAGAAGTTTTACTTCAAACTCGTTTTTTTGTTAAGATTAAAATTGCTTTACATTGAATTTGCTTTTGCCTCTTACTTCCTGCTGACATTAAGATGAAACTTAAATCATATACCATGAAATAATGTTCCGTGTGGTGACAGATTAAGAATACGGAGTGTCACCACCCCTATTCATCCCGTGGGTGTCGTAAGAGGCGACTAAGGGAGCAAACTACGCAGGACAACAGCACTGCAAACAGAAGGAAAACTTGACAGAACCCGTCTGGCCAGCGTGGTATATAGTAGGGGAGCCCTAGAAGGGATTTCGGGATTTATTCGAGAGTGTCAGATTAAGGTAGGAATACCTTACAACCAGTTGAGTACCTACACCATACATGAGCCCTACATAAAGGGGATCATCTAGGGCCGGCCATCAGATTAGTTAAAAAAAAACAATGGTCAAAAATACTCGACCGTGTAAGATTCATCATCATCATCATCATCATCAACATCAACAGCCTATACTAGTCCACTGCTGGACATAGGCCTCTCCTTAGAAAGGAGGTTTAAGGTGTAAGATTAAGGTAAGTTAAGTCAATTATATACACATTAGTGTGTATTTTAAAAAAATCTGACAACTTTAGAGTAACATAAAGCAGTGGGAGAGTCACAAAGTTCCAAAAGAAAACACATGACCTTAACAAAAAAAAATATTAAAAGCAAACAATGGAAGCATTCTTCTTTAAATGTCTACATAATTTTTAGTGCCTTTATTTGTAACATTTTAAAAATATAAAATATTCAAACCGTCCGATTTAAAAGACCCTGCAAAATTATCGTCAGATTTTTGGCTAGTATGACAGAAACAACAAGCTGAACCATCTATATAAAATCTAACACGCTCGGGTATTCCGAAATAGCGATTTTTCGAATTTGCAGTATGCATTTTTAGCGTCCAAACAACGTATCCCTAAAATATCTGATGCGCCCGAATATTGTTTTTCGATTTCCTCCCCTTACATTTTTGAAAACCAATAGAAACTTTTCCCACCTCTGAAAGTGGAAACATTATAAAACTTTTATTCATTCTATTACCTAATCTTTCAAATGCAATAGGTCCCCATAACGTTCGAGTAAATCCCCAATTAGCATCATGGACTCCCCTACCAATAGTAGCCCAAAACCTCCTTTCTAATCAGATATTTGATGTTATATAGCCTATGGCCTTCTTCGATAAATGGGCTAGCCAACACTAAAGGAATTAAAGATATTGATCCAGCCGTTCACGCGTGATGCCGTGACCAAGGGAAATAGGCATTCATTTTTATATATGTACTAGCTGCCCCGGCGAACTCTGTTCCGCCTTAAAGGCAATAAATAAGCCGATTTTCGAATTTAGTAAGTTTATTTTTTTCTTAGAAAAAAAAATGAAGTACAATAATCATTTATTATTGTTTCTGCATTTCAGTACATAGGTTGCTCTTCACTTAAGTACCTTGTGATACACGACATTTTTTGTTTTCTTATCAGGCGCAAAAACAAACAACGCACATAGTCTTCCGACCCGGGAACATGCCACATATAATTGACCATGGGAAAAACATGGATGTTCGTAAAAAAACAAAGTTCGTAAAAAACAAAAAAAAAAATAACACTGTCGAACGGAATAAATAATAACCTATGTCCGTCTCCTGGCTCTAAGCTACCTCGCCACCAATTTTCAGCCATATCTGTAAAGCCGTTCTTGAGTTATAAATAGTGTAACTAACACGACTTTCTTTTATATATATAGATATACAAAAACAATACAAATAAGATTCTTATTATCTCTAAATGTTGAAACGATTAATCATTTCTAGGGTCCCGTTCTTCAACACAGAAAAAGAACCCTTATACTTACCCTAAATCACTTAGTTACTTTGAATTCTAATTGTATGCTCGACAAGACTTACTTTTTAAAGACGAGTGGAGGTACTCAGTTGAAATAAACATCAAACACATATTATTTGAAACTGTAAAAAATTAAGCTTATTACGATTAAGATAACGTAATCATAAGATACGATTATCTGCAGCGCCATACATATTTTACAGTTTCGCAAATAAATCAAATCTATACTTTTTATCATTCAATCTGATAAAAGTAAGCTGTCATAGGATAAGTAAAAGGCTTTTTTTTTGTATTACGGTCTGTCAGGTCTACAGGTCTACAAGTCAACAGGTACAACAAGATTTTATCATTAAGAAAAAATGGGCACAAATCTTCGAAGTTCGATTTACGAGATAAACAAACTATCAATTAGTGTTTGTTTCCTTACGGAACCTTCAGAACGTAGTCAGACTCGCACTAAAAAGGTTCTTTTATATTTACTCTCTCACTCGTCGCACTCTTATAACGTAATCTACTATCCTATGCTTATTTCGTGAGTTCTAGAACACATATGAACATACTGACATTATATCAACAGCCTTAAATATACCACTGCTGGACATAAGCCTCTCGAGTAAAAGGAGATTTTGCCCCCCATACCACGCTGGCCAGATTTGTTGATATTGGTTTTGTTTTCAGTTTTCCTTCTCTTTGGAGTGCTGTTGTACTGCGTAGTTTGCTTCCTTAGTCGGCTCTCACGGCACCCATGAGATGAATAGAGGTAGTAAGACTCCGTATCCTTAATCCCTCATCACACGGAAATAAATATACTAACATACATGTCATATTTTTGTAAATACAGACCTATTTTATTATTTAACTCATTTATTTATTCACTTATTATGTTACTTTTTATTCGCATAGATATTCATTTATAAAGCTGACTGCTTATAAATCTAAGAGAGGTCAAGACTTAAGCGATATACTTAATAACCAATGTCTGAGATTGCGTATGCGCAAGAGAACGTTTCATTACATGTAACAGATAGATAATAATTTTAAAACATTTAAAGTTTTCTTATTGATTTATTTTAGCAGTAATTTTGTAAAAAAAAAAAATTTTTGAAATTAATAAAAAAAAGTGCAAAAGAAAACTCAAGTTAAAGTCCTTCACTGGAACTCCAATATTAAGGATATTTAATCGAAAGACCACATAAGAGTCGAAGTCGAAGTCAAAGAAAGTCTTTGTTACTTAATCGTATTGAATACTAAGCGAGTTGTAATAATATTACGGACATCTGACACACAACGCCATCTAGTTTCAAATTAAGCAGAACTTGTATTATGAAAACTAGATTGACTGATAAAATATTTATATCTTTTTTTTGTAAATACCTGCCTATTATACATAGAAAACACCCAAACTTCGAAACAATTTTTTGTAGATGATACAAACATTTGGTCCGACCCGGGAATCGAACCCGAGACCTCAGCACAGCACTCGCATACGCTACCGCTGCACCACCGAGGCAGTCTAGAGCACCACTAGAGCAGTTTGAAAATAATTCTGATGCAGAGAATAAATAGAACTATTTAGAAAATAAGATTTAATAATCTCCCTACTGGCATTTATTCTTAAAACAGATTGCGGCGAAGCGAAGATAATAACTTGCTAGACGTGCCCTGCATTTACCGGCCCTCTGAACTCTGACCCAATAATAATTATCTTAGCATGATATTAAGTATTCTCAAGAATATGGCTATGAAATGCAAAGATATTTTCTCAAACTCGATTAGAAGTTCTCGATTTAATTGCGTATTTAGAGGAAAAGGGGGTAATGATATAGCCACTTAAGCAAGACACGAAATAAAACACAAAATATTTGTTTAAACTTCATAAAAATCAACTCCCACAATAGTTTATTCTTGCAATTTTAGTTTTATTCCCTTCAGAACAAAAGGAAACTTAAAATATATGGTAAATATATGTAAGGCATCAGACTCTGTCCATCCATGTACAACTCATTTTTGCGACAGTCAAATTTATCACGTACTAACCAATTATTGGAATCGTCTTATCGTCACATATCTAATTAAGTCTGACTCACAATATCTGAATACGAATACTCTTTTTGAGCTGATATTTTACCAGTTCCCTGCACCAATTCCAGCATACGAGTAAAAATTGACGCAGATTTGTAAATCTTCTGCGCAGAAGTTATATTATTTAAATTCGCTGGATTCCAGAGTTAAATATATTTCTAAATAATAAGAATATACAAAGAAAAATATAACCTCGACAGAAATAGTTCGTTCGTTCGTTTGGCACGTGTAATCTTGTAAGTATAATCTATATTTAGTATAAACATGATATTTATTGAGTATGGGCGTATAGATATTTGTTGCTCAATAACGCTAGAAGGGCTAAATGGATCTGAATTTCGGCACAGAGATAGACTATTCGTATACACCACCGAAGCAGTCAATAATTCAGTCAGGATAACAACTAGTATTTAAAAAAATATTTACACATTTTAAAACGAAAAATAAGAAACATAGTACTAAAGTATCGTTTAACTCAAGAGGCAAAAGCAAAATGTACTTAAAAAGTTGAGACTGGTAGAGTCAAATCATTAGATTCATCACTCATTATGTAATTTTACACAAGTCTGAATCATTCTAATTCCATATTTTAAAGATACACGTCATGTCATTACGCTGGTTAGGCAATGTTTTACAGCGAGAGTTTTACAAAAATCGGTTGCATAATTACAAAAAATACTCTCGCCTGCATGGGCAATAAAACTAAAAATATACTAAACAGTGAGTCATAGTACTGTCACTCCACTTAAGTACTATGAAACATAACAAGAGCAGATGTCACTAAACGACATATAATAATAATAACCTTACACATTTCATACACGGCTGTCTGATCCCAAAATAATACGTAAATACCAAATATAATACGTAAAAGGAATAACGTGCACTAAAAACCCATACATATTTATTAATAAGTGTTATGTTTCCTTGTAAGTAAATTACGACAAAATTTAACCTGGACTTCCTATAATACAACATTTGATAAAGGAATTCGTCAAATTTTGATTAAAGCGTTCATTACTAAACTAACAGATAATTGTTTCTCATAATGACTCGCGTTATAGGGCAACTATTTTCCTTAGTATAGCTGCCAAATGTAGAATAAATCATCCTTACTTCATCCTCTTATCGTTCGCTTGTGCGGTAGAAAGAGATGGTGAATTTAGAATCACTGAATAGTTTACGTCATTCACTCACACTAACACATACAATGTAAACAAGTTTTATTAAAACCGATGAACGGGCGCAGCCGCCAGTATCAAACGAGTACGCGCTCTCGCGTGTTTACGTGCTGTAAAATGGCCAACAGAATTATCCTGTTGTGCCTCTTGATTTCGTGTCTAACAGTTTGTTACATTGAGTGTGGAAGAAGCTCAGGCAGAAGCTCAGGCAGAAGCTCAAGTAGAAGTTCAAGCAGAAGTTCAGGAGGCGGTTGGGGTAAGAGTTGGGGCTCGAGCTCGGGTTCCAAACCAAGTTCGTCTTCAAGTAGTTGGGGAAGTTCTCACCGCTATCCTTCATCGGGATCAGGTCTATCCGGATCAAGCTCCAGTTCACATAGCTATCCGTCATCTGGATCGGGTCTTTCTGGATCGAGGTCTAGTTCACATAGCTATCCATCATCTGGATCGGGACTTTCTGGGTCGGGGTCTAGTTCACATAGCTATCCGTCATCTGGATCGGGTCTTTCTGGATCGAGGTCTAATTCACATAGCTATCCGTCATCAGGGTCTGGCCTTTCTGGATCAGGATCAAGCTCCAGTTCGGGAAATTCCTGGTCATGGTCAGATCTCTTTGGATCGAAATCGAGTTCATTAGGATCAAAATCGGGATCACATAGCTATCCCTCATCCGGGTCAGGCCTCTCTGGGTCAGGTTCTGGTTATGGAGGCACTCACAAGGTTTCTTCGCATCCATCTTATGGCACAAATGGACATCGATATAGTAACACATACAATACTAATTACTATTCTACGAGTAACTTACCATCTTACTACACTGCACCCCGATACGAGTACGTGCATGAATACAGAAATTCAGACAGCCGCTACGGAGACCTATTGACTGGATTAACATTGTACAACCTTGGCCGGTCACACAGCCATTATCATAGCCATTACTACTATGACGACTATTACAACCGACGCTACACATCATCAGGTAATTCCTACGGAGTAGAAAACAAACCCACTGAAGAGGCTACATGTTTAATGAGAGTAAAAGAGAATGGTAAATTAGAGGTACTAAAAATACCGTGTGAAATCGTTTCCACTTTTACCGAAGATAGCAAGAAGTTAGCTCCGACCCCAGATACCAAGGTAAACACAACAGTTTGCACAACTAACAGTACGATGATTAACAACACCTTGCCTGTTAACGGTTCATCAGTTAATTCCACGTCAACGGCCAACACGACAATGGTGAATGTTACCGTATGCACCACGAACTCGACCGTATCAGATCCGTTGACTGTTAAAGGACCTCGTGCCAACGGTAAGAACATGGAGTGTGAAGTGGAGATCCATACTAAGCAGGCTCTCTTCCGTAATCATATTGATTGTAAGACTTTAATGTCGTACGCTAAAATGCCTGAACCAAAGAAGGATACGGGCATACTTCCTCCTAGGGAGAAACTGAAGTCTTGGTTAGCGAAACCACCATGGTGGGTGTCTATGTTCATAGCTGTTTAATTTACGTACCTAAATTGTTTGTGTAAAGGTTAGTGACATAAAATCATTTTGGCTATTCATTTAAAAGCAAATGATAACCTTGTGAATTCTTGTTTCCAAATTCGGTAAACAATCAACAAAGCAATTCTAATTCTATGACTTTAAATGTAGGTTAAAATATACAAATACTCATTAGTTTTTCGTATAACTTTAGAAATTAATATTTGTGATTTCATCTTTTATTAAGTTTTTGACTCTTTGACTGCGTGTACCATGCCATTACAAAGCATTTACATTGTAATATAACGAATAAAACTTTTTTTACCATAAAAAATGTGTTTCATTGACAATGCTCAATCACTGACTTATTTTTTTTAAATATATTTGTTACAGAATTTTCTGCTAAAGCGTACTTGTTTAATATTTATAAAAGTTTTACTTTAATAATGAATATAGTTTATGTTTTAATTGATGAAAATATTTCGCCCTCAATACGTAATAACATCTTTAGTCAAAATAATGTGACACAATTTGTGTGACACAGGCTAGTGAAGACGTTTCATTTCTATCATAAAAACACAGTCACATATTATTGCCATATAACGTTTTGTACGTATAAGTAGATAATGACGATTTAGCCTTCTAATAATTAACCTTTGGCTTCAGTTAGACTGTTATCATGAAGTGCGTAAATTAAACTAAATTTAATTGGCACACATAATCTATACACAGACCAGGAAAAAAAACAATAATAAAAATGTCTATATCCTTTGGACGTTCGTACGTGTACGTCAGCAAAATTAATACAAATCTTAAGTGTACTGATTTTCTTTCAAAATAAAAAAGCTGAACATTGTGGTTACAATAAAAATAAGCTTCTTTCAACTGTTGTCATTTGCAACTGCATACGTAAATAAACTTCAAAACTTTGCCATAAAGATAATTATAGTATCTACTGACTAAATTTCTTCCTTGGGTAGTTGAATTCTACTTATTACAAACCACACCCGCATCTCCGCGTTAATACAAATACATTATTATTATTGATTACATTATGATTTTAGAAAGAAACTGCTAAATAGAGAACTTCAAAACTACTCAACTAGTCTGGACAAGTCTATAGAAAACTATATAAGAAAACAACTTAGATGGAATAATGGTCATCTCCAAGCATTAAATGCGAGTTGATCGTCCTTTGTCTCGTCCGTCTATCACCTATTTGCAACATAAATAAGGAATTTTAAAAACTTGTAAAAAATTATATGCTTTTTAAAGTCAATGTTAAAAAACAAACGACATTTATGTTAAAGTTCTGCCTACCTTACTCCTCATAGCCTTTGCCAATATAGTTTTTAAAAAGACTACAATTATTTCTACAAGTGGTAAAAAGATGGCGTTAATATCAATGTCAACCACTGAAGTCATATATCTGTAGTCAGTTTACAACATGCTCCGTGGTGTACAAGCTATCACAGGGATGTATTTGTTTCGTTTTCACGCCATTGCTTAATGGCTTCCTTTACAGCCTTAACGATGTCCTCTTCATTAAGTTTATGTACATACTTTTTAGTGAACAGCGTATTACTTTTAGGAGTTAAAACATTTTTCTCGTAACCGAAATGTTGTGACGCTAAAGCAGAATAAAAGAAATATTATCTAAACCTGTAGTTATGACCGCCTGCTAAAAAAATTGATAGCTATTAGTTGTGTGTTTGTGTAAAATTGAAACTTTAAGCAGAATTAGATCTTTTTTATGCTCTTTTTTATGGTAAAAGATTCAATAATCAAATCATGGGGTAAACGAACGGACGGGTCACCTGATGGTAAGTGACTAAATCTAAGATCATTTAAGTAGTAATTAAATAAAAAAGTGCAATTAAAGCCTTTTAAAGAGGTATAATAATTATTTAACACATTTCCTTACGTATGTCTAGTATTTTAATATAGTCCTTTCTATGGAATATGGCCCTACATAAAGGTTAAAAGTATGTGTGGTATTTTAAGTTTAATTTAGTAATGAAATGTAGGACGGCCTCTCCAGACCAATTAAAACAAAAACGAAATGTATGGCTACAATTGATTTTATGTTATGATGCCAATAGATGTCGGAAAAGCAAAGTTTTGAAAACACTCGAAATTTTATAGATCGCGCGATCGCAGTCCTACAAAAAATCATTTGTTGTTGGTTTTGCAATATCGTGCTAGAGGAACTAAATTATGTTTGCTCATACTCTTGATAAAAAAAAAGATTTTTTTCTAGCAAGTTTAAATATGAAATCACTTTTATTTTCAGCTATAATCTCCGTGTGCTGGGTGTCGGGTGTGGGCGTTGGACTTTTACCCCTTTTCGGATGGCATAATGGGAACCCCGCAACTCCTGGCTGTTACTTCGTTGACGTTATGGACTACAACTACCTCTTATTCCTGTACTTCGCAACTATTGTCACGCCCAGTGTGCTTCTGGTCGCGTTCTACGCTCACATCTATCGTGTCGTTATAAAACAGGTACGTGTCCAAATAAGTAAATTTGTTACGTATTTGTTTAGTGTTGGTTTTTTTGCCAGGTCACCGTGGAAATAAAATTCCAGTTCAATTTACTAACATACCCTCTTATCATGTATTGTTAAAGCCGGTAAAGTTTGTGTCTAAATAGGAGGCCACTTTAGAGGCCATTTGAAATATTTTTATATTATGGATGTATTTTCCAAAATAAATCAATACAATTCATCGAAGAATTTGCTACAGAAAACCTCTTGCATTAATTATTTTCTCTAAGGAAAATTATTATAATTTGTAGGTTCATAAAAATTGCATTTTACTCTTTATTTTTCAGCTCAGTGAGGTGATGACAGTCGACGGCAGCAGAGGGCGAATATCCGGCGGAGGCACCATGTTACGAGTCCTCGGAGCCGCTCAAAAAAGGGAAGTCAAAGCCACACAAAATCTCGCAATCATAGTGTTCTTCTTCATTGTATGCTGGATTCCACTTTACACTATTAATGCAGTGAAAGCATTCAGGCCCGAACTGGACATTCCAAACTCTTTGACATATTTCTGCGTTATCTTTTCTCACTTCAATTCTGCTATTAACCCCTTTTTATATGCATATCACTTAAAAGATTTCCGAGCAGCGCTCAAGGGACTTATCTGCACTGTTTTTGGTAGAAGAGCTACTATGGAGGCAGCTCTTAGACCACCGATACCTGTCGGACGACCCGCATTAGAAAGATGCAATGCTTTAAGAGAGAGGCCAAAAATATATGTGAATTCTCCAGTATGGTTAAGGCAGAAAGAAGCAGAAATGAGTTCAACAGATGCAAGTAGGGCAGTTGTGATTGTGACTCCAGTTGCTCCAGACGTCGAACCGTTTTTGAATAAAGTTGCCGATGGATCCAGTCGTTGTCATACTCCTGAAGCCAGGGACAGTGAGGCTGGCCCTTACCTTATTCAGTCTAACGAAGAGAGATGCCAAAGCCCTTACAAACGTGTTGAAGAATTAATCCGGAGGGTTCGCAGTGGAGATCATAGCTGACAAGAGCCTTGCCGGAGTGTCCCGGCTTATGGTTTCACATTGTAAGAATTTGGATGCAAGAAACATTCCTTAGATCAAAAATAATTTATTTATTTATATAGATGTATTGAAAGTCGCTTCTAGACATTTGTATTTTTATTAATGGTTGTTAGAAGATGATGAGTGAAGTGAATGTTGTTCCAAAGATGCTAAACATTGTTGTCGCTTGTATTGATGTTTTGTTATTTCATTGCTTTAATGAAAATACAATTTAACGAATATTATACTCTTTTATTTTTATCTTTTAAGATGACATTTGAGAGCAACATTTTGTTATTAAAACTGTGTCTGTAAACAGTAGAAGCAGGCACAAGAAAACAGAAATCATAATAATTATTATAACTATTTCTATGCACAAAACCCATTTTAAAACCTATTGATTAGCTTACGAACATACGTAATCTTCACTATTATATAACCTCACTGTCATGTTTCATGCACCTGACTACTTTATAGCTATACTTATAGCTTTTTCCACAGTTCACAGATTATTTACCAGCAAATTGTAGCTACAAGAAATAACTATGGAACCATTTATATTAATATAACAGATAACAGATTTCAATTGACAGGGGAGTTAGAGTAAAATAGAATGAACAAGGGCACATTTTATTTAGAGTTTAAGGTTTTATATACTCCTGTACAACTACTACATATACTAAACATTACATATAATAAATAATTTGTTGATCGGTTTACCAGTAATAATTACACTAAAACATTCATACAAAATTGAACATGGTATTAACCTTAACTTGAGTACACAACCTATGTAGGTAAACGCTACAGGCATATAATCCAATATAGCTTAGAAAATGACTATTGACAAAGGGTGTTACAAAACCTATAACTTAGTACCTATCTCTAAATAGGACAACAATTATTCCATGGGTAATCGACAGTAAGATTATAGACTCGGCTCTTAAATAATGAATAATGAAATGGACTTGGCATCAACATCAATGGCGAGTATATCGCCCACCTTCGATTTGCTGATGATATAGTTGTCATGGTTAACATGGTAAACCATGGAGGATCTTAGCACAATGCTCGTTGAGCTCAGTAGGATTTCTAAAGGTGCGACAGGGCGTTAGACATAATTTTCCTCTTATCCAGGTCTTAAAATAGACATTGATAAGAGGAAAATCCTACCTACCTACTCCAGTGAAAATTTGAGACTCTACGCTCGAATTTGTTGTCGACTACGTGTACTAAGGACAAACTGTCCAGCTAAGGAGGTTCCAACTAGGTTCGGGAACCTGCGTTTCTCGTCCCAAATACCGCAGAAGTCTTTAACTATCGTGTGTTGACAGTGATCACTTATGGCACATAGACGTGGTCGCTCATAATGGGCCTCATCAAAAGGCAATGCTCGGAGTTACGGAGTGCGTGTTCGAAAAAGGAATGCGGAGATCCGCAGACGAACCAAGGTCATCGATATAGCCCGGAGAATTGACAAACTTAAGTGGCAGTGGGCGTGGCACGTTTCTCGCAGAAACAATGGCCGATGGGGTCATAAACTTCTTGAGTAGCGACCGCGACCCGGCAAACGCAGCGACCCCACTAGGTGGTCCGACGACCGGTGAACGTCACGGAAAGCCGTTGAATGCGGGCAGCACAAGACCGGTTGTCGTGGCGAACCTTGGGTGAGGCCTATGTCCAGAAGAGGACGTCTTTCGTCTGAGATGATGATGATACATAATTCCGTTACATATATATACTCAGACACATTTATGAATATAGATGTCTGCTTTGAAAGGGAATTCAGCCCGCGACCACTTTCACGCCAGACGAAATCGTTCGTCGAGTTACCGTCATCGTTTGGACCACTCTGTGTACTTGTTCTACGGTACCATGTTGTTGACAGAAGCCAAATTGCTTGTTAGGGATTATGATATTATTTTCTGGTGTGAGTATAATCCGATGAAAAATAAATCATGGATAAAACAGGCAAAAGGCTACTGGGCCCATATGAGGTCGTTCGGTCTGGTGGTTTCCCTGTTTATGTATCATAAGAATTTGTTACACAGAAACCCATAAAATCACCGAGAACCCCTCACGTAATTAACGGACACCCCTTTATACTTCCATTCATCGCCCTGTACTATCAACCAATTATCGACAGAACGCTTTTTTGAAGCGAGCGAGCAGTATCTTAAACAAGAAATACAGAGAGCATGGTTTATATATTTTTAATCCGAAAATGGAACCAGTGAGACGGGCGCTTAGTAAACGGGTGGAGATCATCGCTCAAGTAAGATTGATAACGGTTGGCATAGAAATACTTTAAATGGCGGGAACGAGAATCCGTCAAGCGGATACGACTACCTTGTAAACAAACACAGGCCACAAGTGGGTAACGTTTGCAAACTTATCATTAAAAGAGAAAATGGAGATTACATAAAGACTAGAGTAGATTGTCAAATATAAAAAAAAAAATTGCAAGGTATGAAATATCAGAAAACAATATAACTAATAAGGCTTTTTTTATGAAAGAGGGGGTAAACGAGCAAACAGTTCACCTGATGGAAAGTGACTGCCGCTGCCCATGAACGGTGGCCCAAGTGATGAAAATGGAGATGGATTGAAAATGCAGAGTGAAGCTACATCTCTACGTGACGCCAAAGGGTCGAGGCGATCGGATCTTTTCTCTTGCTTTCTTTTTTTGACGATTCGAGTCACTCTTCGTTGATTGCGATCCAGAGGAAGAAGTTAGTACTGGACTATTAAAAGAACATCAACAGTTGCACCGTTACTTGGTAATGTTATCAATTTTGTGTTTCCAAATAGTAAACTTGTGCCTGTAAATAAAACTGGTGTTAATATCTCTGTTATGGCTGGTGTTGTTGCAAACGTAACAACTAATCAAACTGTACCTGACTCACCAAATCCTCGTTCATCATTTGTGGTACCAACGATTCCTACAAGAAATCGTTCCCAACCAGTGAGTAACTTCGAACGCTAAACAAAAATCTGTAAATGTAAAAAAAGTATATAAGTTTTCAATTTTAATTCTGAAGTGAAAACTTAAATACTTCTATACAGAGGTGTCAGTAACGATAACAGTGTCGCGAGTATACATGGAAATTATTGCTAGTTTTAAATCATATACATTTGATTAAATGATTGGTTTTAGCCTAGCGCCTAGGAATTGCGACCCAGGTTTAGGGAGTACTCCTTGCGACGCGTCACTGTCTGCTGTGTTACCCTCTCTACCCAACCATATTTAATACTAGCCTAACAATGCCGCTTTGGATATTCGGTCAAGAAAAGAGCTTAATGAAGCTTATGGCAATCCAAGGTCTTTAGCTAGGTTATAGAGGGAATTATCTGGTATATGGTATACCCATCGAACCCACTTCCAAGGCATACAACGCAACGAAATAGCTTTTATATTTCTTGTTTATTCGTTGGTCAAGTCAAAGTATCTAGGTACTTATTTCTTTTTAATTATTATAAATATTAATTTATTTCGAATTTACAATTATAAATATTTTTTGAAAGAAATCCGGGCATTTATTAAAAAAAAAAGTTTTATACATAATCGTTTGTTTCATTCCATACAAATAGAAAGCTGTTTTTATTGAAGGCGACGCCGGATACGGGCAGGTGATAGAAAATATGATAACATTTGGCAAAAAAATATGCTAAACGAATAATGCTATGCTGAGTGTAGTTTTACACGTTGGGAATTATTGTTAAAACCAATTACTGAACAGATAGATCACTCATCATCATCACGCCGCTTCCTACTAGTTTGTTGTGTTACGTGTACCAACTTGTTATAAGAGTGACTAATATTAGGGGTTAAAGTATAAAAATTGCCGATTTGTACTGAAAAATTGAAATTAGTTTTTTTCTAAGATGTAACTTATTTATTTAATCAAAATTTTTATCATTTGCCAGTTCTGCCATCTAAACGTAACGGATTGATTTATGACTTTACGATAGAACTCCAGGGATCTAGATTCGACAAACTGTGTGAAGGAATTGTGTACTGACTCCTGGGCAGAAAATTTTGTATCACGTAGAAAATTACCCAAATCACGAAAAAAAAAACGATGGAGCGAGGTCTGGCAGATGACGTATGGTTTCTGACTGCAGCTCCTGTAGAGTTACAACGGTTTCTCGTGTAGTGTAAGTTCTTGAATTATCATCATTGTTGATTCAAGAGTCGGGGCTGTTTCATTGCCAGTTTCGCTATCATTGTTCGAAGTTCGGCACAGTAAACATCTGCTGTTAATGCCTGACCAGACCTGAGAAAGCTATAGTGAATAACACCATGAAGAGACCACCAAACAGTTACCATTACCTTTTTATTGGTAAACTTTGCTTAAGGGCACTGTTGCGGCGTTTAACCTGAGGGGCCCAGCCATTGCGTTTTTCGCTTACATTTAGAGTAAACAATCCACTTTTCGTCACATGTCACAATTTGATCCAATATTCCTTAATTTCTGTACCGATTCAACAAGGTAACACAAGTTTCAACACGCATTTCTTTCTGCAGAGCAGTCAAATCATGAGGCACCCATTTTTCATACTTTTAGTAGGGTCAGGGTTCAAATATTGTAGGTAGGGTAACGTTAAACCTTGCGGCTAATTCCTGGGTAGTTTGACTCGGATCGGCTTCCACCATCTCCAACATTCAACTCAGCGTTATTCACCTGTGTCTTCCACGTGGTTCGTTCTTCAAATCGAAGTTTTCATTACGAAAGTGTTTAAAGCAGTCTGGCAAAAACACAGCAGTCTGGTCTTCAAAGGCAGCATTGATATTGCGAGTCATTTCTGCCGCGTTAATTCCGCGTATAAAAAAAAACGATTGAAAGGCGAAAACCGAATGTTGCACATTTAAAAAAAAACATCATAGGTATAGTGTGAAAAAAGTTTCACACGAAAATCTCGCACCTTGAAGATGTTATGTCAATTCAAAGTATCTACTTACAAGTAGATACTTTGAATTG